TTTTTCTACTTCAGTGCTGCTAAGTAAAGTGCTGCAGCTGGAATACACAAGAACTGAAATGTATCATTTCTGACACTGTACATAGAAAGGAGTGGTATTCTCATCAAGACACATATTTCAGGATAAGTTCATGGATTTCAATTTGTGGTGTCTGAAACTGTGGAGACAATTATATTATATAATATATTAAATCAAGAGGGAGAGAGCTGCTGAAATATCTTTATTTGATTATTATATAACAGGACAAACTATTTTTCATGACAAATGAAACTTTATACTAAGCTAAATTTAATTACCACTAGACCATGACGGAGATCTATAGCAATTCATTGCTCATTTTTATACTGGCATTTTCACATCTTCCAAAATAGCTGACAGTATGTATCTAATAGGAAATTAATGTCTAAACTTACAGATGATCTTTTCTACCCTGCGGCTAGAATTCAATTTCTTCCTCTAATATTTCTTTTCTGCCAAAGAAAGAAAATTAAAATCCATTAGTCGAGCAAACACACAGGCCACAGCTGAATTTAAGAATAGTGGTGTTTGGAGTTAAATGTTAACACCAGCATGCCGACATGCTTGCACTGCACCGACAATTCTAAAATGCTGATGTTTCACAAGTAAAAAGCTTACCTTTTTCACCTTCTTAATTTAGTGTGTTAGCATGCTAACATTTGCTAACTTGATGATGGAAATGTCATTTTAACTTGAGGATGGTGCTAAATAAAAAAAACTGTTATTACAGTTCATCCTGAGAGACATAAATGTCAGTACTTGGTTTCATAGCAATGCCTCCAACAGCCACAATTTTCACTCACAGCCACAAATATCAACCTTGTGGTGGAACTAAAGAAAAGGTCACCTGTGTCAGTTCAATTCACAATTTGCTCAGTATAAATGTCGATACAAAGTTCCATGGCAATTTGTCCCTTATTTGATGTTTCACTCTGAGTCAAACTGGTGGGTAGACAGATGGTTAGACTGACAGACCAACTTCAGAATGACTGAAGGTATATTCAAATCACTGTAGGATTGATTTTTAAGCCATCTGGCCTTTTAGGCACATAGAGACACATTTTCATATGTGACAAACAAATGCATATCATATACTTTGAAGAGGGAATCGTGTACCCATGGAAAATGAAGTAGACAGCTACTGAGCAGCTGGTGATCTATCCTACCATCAGCAGAACAGTTTGTGGGATGAAGCTGTTGGACCCACAGCTAGAAAGACAGAAACAATAACAAGAAAGGATCTGCAAAATTTGGTGAATTCTACTGTGGATCAGTTTTATGTCTCAAGCTTTCAGGTGGAATGTGGCTTTCTTACCTCTCCTGTTCATGGCGCCACTCTCAGCTCTAATCTTTTTGTTGTGATGTCTGGCTTCATGTGGTGAAAAGTCGATGTTGGCATCCGGCAGGGCTGGATGGAACAAATCTGGTGGAATCAGAAATAAAGTCAACCTTATCCGGTACGCTATCTTTATCCTCTCTCTTCAGCATTCACAAAAAGTTTTATTTTAGTGACAGAAACATCTTTTTCTCTCATCATTCACAGGTGAGGCCATTCCTCTCATACCCTTTTTTTCTGTGGCCCTAGTCCCATCTGTGCTAGGCCCTTGGCTCCTCTTTCTGCATTTCCCTGGAGGAGCTCCTGCAGCTGCGGCTGGCAGCTTTATCTCTGGGTCTTTTTTTCAGTTAGGTCAATACACTGGGTAAAGATCAGCTACAAGAGAACATAATCTGAACAAAATCCAGTTATATGAAGGCATGGCTGAAGTGCACTGGTATCGGTGCACCAGCATTTGAGATTTGCAGAGAAGAAGGCCTTGTGTAGTAACTACAGTGCCTTGCGAAAGTATTCGGCCCCCTTGAACTTTGCGACCTTTTGCCACATTTCAGGCTTCAAACATAAAGATATAAAACTGTAATTTTTTGTGAAGAATCAACAACAAGTGGGACACAATCATGAAGTGGAACAAAATTTATTGGATATTGCAAACTTTTTTAACAAATAAAAAACTGAAAAATTGGCCGTGCAAAATTATTCAGCCCCCTTAAGTTAATACTTTGTAGCGCCACCTTTTGCTCCGATTACAGCTGTAAGTCGCTTGGGGTATGTCTCTATCAGTTTTGCACATCGAGAGACTGAAATTTTTGCCCATGCCTCCTTGCAAAACAGCTCGAGCTCAGTGAGATTGGATGGAGAGCGTTTGTGAACAGCAGTTGTCAGTTCTTTCCACAGATTCTCGATTGGATTCAGGTCTGGACTTTGACTTGGCCATTCTAACACCTGGATATGTTTATTTGTGAACCATTCCATTGTAGATTTTGCTTTATGTTTTGGATCATTGTCTTGTTGGAAGACAAATCTCCATCCCAGTCTCAGGTCTTTTGCAGACTCCATCAGGTTTCCTTCCAGAATGGTCCTGTATTTGGCTCCATCCATCTTCCCATCAATTTTAACCATCTTCCCTGCCCCTGCTGAAGAAAAGCAGGCCCAAACCACGATGCTGCCACCACCATGTTTGACAATGGGGATGGTGTGTTCAGGGTGATGAGCTGTGTTGCTTTTACGCCAAACATAACGTTTTGCATTGTTGCCAAAAAGTTCGATTTTGGTTTCATCTGACCAGAGCACCTTCTTCCACATGTTTGGTGTGTCTCCCAGGTGGCTTGTGGCAAACTTTAAACGACACTTTTTATGGATATCTTTAAGAAATGGCTTTCTTCTTGCCACTCTTCCATAAAGGCCAGATTTGTGCAGTATACGACTGATTGTTGTCCTATGGACAGAGTCTCCCACCTCAGCTGTAGATCTCTGCAGTTCATCCAGAGTGATCATGGGCCTCTTGGCTGCATCTCTGATCAGTCTTCTCCTTGTATGAGCTGAAAGTTTAGAGGGACGGCCAGGTCTTGGTAGATTTGCAGTGGTCTGATACTCCTTCCATTTCAATATTATCACTTGCACAGTGCTCCTTGGGATGTTTAAAGCTTGGGAAATCTTTTTGTATCCAAATCCGGCTTTAAACTTCTCCACAACAGTATCTCGGACCTGCCTGGTGTGTTCCTTGTTCTTCATGATGCTCTCTGCGCTTTAAACAGACCTCTGAGACTATCACAGTGCAGGTGCATTTATACGGAGACTTGATTACACACAGGTGGATTCTATTTATCATCATTAGTCATTTAGGTCAACATTGGATCATTCAGAGATCCTCACTGAACTTCTGGAGAGAGTTTGCTGCACTGAAAGTAAAGGGGCTGAATAATTTTGCACGCCCAATTATTCAGTTTTTTATTTGTTAAAAAAGTTTGAAATATCCAATAAATTTCGTTCCACTTCATGATTGTGTCCCACTTGTTGTTGATTCTTCACAAAAAATTACAGTTTTATATCTTTATGTTTGAAGCCTGAAATGTGGCAAAAGGTCGCAAAGTTCAAGGGGGCCGAATACTTTCGCAAGGCACTGTACTTAAAAGAAACTGTTAGACATTTTGGGATAAACACATATTTGCAATTCACTCATAGAGAGTGATACCACCCTCATATCCCTCTGTTGAAGATATGGTTACTGCTGCTGGCAACCAGTTAGCTCAGCTTTGCAGAAAGACTGCAAGCAGGGAACAGACCTTGCCTGCTTCCATCATTTAACACAATATTGTGTTTGTTTAATCTGTACAAAAACCAAGGTCTAAAGTAGGAATTTCAGCACATTCCCGCCCATAAAACCATGATGTGCTGTTGCTAAGCTATTCGTTTCCCCTTGTTTCCAGTCTCTCTGCTAAGCTTCTGGCTCTGGCTTCATAGTGAACATAAAAATATGAGTGTTATCAATATTCTTACCTAACTCTTGACAAGAAAAAGAGTAAGTATATTTCCAAAAATATCTCAACTATCCTTTGAAAGGCTACTGGAGAAAAAGTGCAGACAAGAGGAGAGAAGAGGAGCAGTCATTAGGACACTCTCTAAGATCCAACAAAGGCTGTGGAAGAGAGAGATCAGATGGTCTAGAATGTGAAGAGCACAGGAAGAATAAGAGGCAGGAAAGAAAGAGAGAACAGAAAAGAGAGGACACTCGAGGTGTAATCGAATGAACACTTGTCTCAGACAGGGTTGGCTTCTGAAAATGACAGCTCTCTCCTTCTCCCTCTAACCCCTCTCATAGGCCTCTCTAATCTATTTCTCCTACTAATTGTACATCTACACAAGTACCCTCACAAGCTCTCATCATTGGGGTGGCGAGATTTGCGAGACATGGGGTCGGACTGATTGCGTGATTACAACCCCTGCTATCAAAGAGTGTGGTTGCTGATGACCATCAAGGATTAAAAACTGACTCAGGTGTTTTGTATGATCTTTCAAAAACAATGATGGAAAAGCAGTCGCTTGTACCATAAGCTCCAGTATCTCATATTAAGATTGGAGAAATTAAGAGTTGCATCATCTATTTTCAAAAGGCTATCCCTGGTGATCTGAACAAACACACCTGGGTTTTGCTCCATTACTGTGTCAACTTCAAATTACTGTTCCCTGCATTCTCTCCCTTCAATAACAAACTCATTTTCTTCTCCTGCTAAGCCAGAGTCTGATTCCCCTCCCATGTGGCAGTGTTTTCTGTATATCAGATGCATCGACTTCCTCTCCCTCCTGTTGTTGTGCCAAGAAATGACCCGCTACCACTCAAAGCAAGTATCCCTCTGTGTTACCTAGTTCAGGTATAAGTTTGTGCTTGTGACAAAAACAATAGAATATAACAACAAAAATATGCTGAATGACTGTTGAAGCTGCTCTGTTTCATCAGCAACAATTAAAGGTGTCAAATTTAATGTTTCTTTTGGCCTGGTCATGTTATCTGGCTGTATTTACTGTATATGCTCATGTACCTAATCAATGGTGTTTATATTTTGTCCTTTGTTTGGATTTCGCTCACTACCCTCCTATCTTTCAAGTGATGCTTATCTGTGCTCCGCTCCTCTGCTGCCTTGCTGGGATGATGCAAGGGGTTTATGGAGCGGGGTCCTGCCAGCTGATGGTAAAATTTATTCCCGGTAGTGTTTATCAGGCAGGAGATGTGGTGATCGGAGGTCTGTTTCCTGTTCATCTAATGGCACCACAGCCTGAGACAGAATTTCAGAGTGAGAAGGTTAATGCCTTCTGTGAGATGTAAGGCTTCTTTGAAAAATTCAGTATTTTCTTTTCTTGTACGCATTTGACTGAACACTCTATCATATATTTTTATTTCTGAAATTCTTCTTTCCTGCTGTTATTTTCCTGCATGCAGTTTTCACCAGAGAGCTTATCGGTGGCTTCAGGCCATGATCTATGCAGTGGATGAAATTAACAATAACCCAGATCTCCTGGCCAACTTCACTCTTGGCTATCTGGCAGCTGATACTTGCCTAGCAGAAAGCATCACTCTGTTAACAGCCATGTCTATTGTAACTGGACAGGAAGCTCATTTGGCAAAATCAGAATGTGGATCTGTGCCTACAGTGCCAGTTATTGTTGGTGATTCACGCACTTCAGCCTCCATTGTTGTGGCAAACACCCTCAGCGTGTTTGATATACCCATGGTGAGGATAATTGCTGCACTGCAAACACTGTGATGATTCATGTGCTTGTTAGGTTGCCTTGCTAGTTTTGTGAATGCCGTATTTCACTAGCATATGTCTCTCTTCTCCAAACACATTTGTGTTTGGGCCGCACAGTGTTACACTGCTGTCTCATAGGAAGTAGCTCATGGGGTCAGACCCCAAAAGGTCTAACTTTGGCTGGCTGTGTTCAGTTGGCAAGTTCTGTCTGGGTTAATGAAAATTTCCTCTGACTACTTCTGTCTTCTTCCGAATCAAAAAGGTCAATGATAACTATTAGAAATGCTCTTGCAATAGCTTTTGACAAAAGCCTCGTCCTCAAAAATTTAAGTTGATTATTGCACATTGCATTAACTGCTCACTTACGTCTAACTCACCATAGGTGTCTGTTTCTGTTTTATATACTCACTGTGTCTTATTCTAATGGCCACTCTTATTCTTCACAGGTAAGCTACTTAGCCTCCTGTGGGTGTCTGAGTGATAAGAGGAGATATCCACTGTTCTTCCGCACAATGCCCAGCGATGCTGCAGAAGCAAGGGCCATGGCTGTGCTGCTGCGCCTGATGGGGTGGGCGTGGGTGGGGCTGGTGTCTGCGGATGATGATTTTGGCAGATCTGGGATGCAGATGTTAATAGAAGCCCTCAGGGGAACTGAAGTGTGTGTTGCCTACAATGAAGTGATTCCAAAGGTACTATACTGTAATGGCCCATTTTGAAGATGGCTGCATATCCCCTCTCTTTATTTTTCATTTTTTCCCTGACCATTTGCTCTCTTTCTTACTATCTGCATTGTCTTTGATTTAATATCTCTCACTTTTGTCCTAAGGACTATCCAAAGATGAGAATTCAAAGAATTGTTAAAACCATCCAGAAATCCACTGCCAGAGTCGTGGTAATATTTCTTAAAGATATGGATGCAGAGGTCATTTTCTTACTGACACTATGAGTTCTTGTTTTCACATTATTTACACATACAGATATTATGCACGTTAGATGCACCCGCTCATAACACATCTCTGCTGCTCATCTCTTTGTCAGGCTTTGTTTGAGGAAGTGGTCCATCAAAATGTAACAGATAAGCAGTGGATCGCCAATGATCCTTGGGTGACATATCGTGCTTTCTCAGTTCCTCGTTATGTTTCCTCACTGGCTGGGACGATAGGATTTGCTCTGCGGAAAGCCGATATACCTGGGCTGGGAGCGTTTCTGACTCGCATTAATCCCCATTCACCCAACTCAGACCCTTTTGTGAAAGAACTCTGGGAAACACTGTTTGGATGCTCTCTTAGTGGGGGCCTGGGACAGACATTGTGTTCTGGCTCTGAGGTTATAGGTGAACAAACCCGTTCTATCATCTGAAACATCATTCCCAAAATATTTCAATTTTTAACTTAATTTACACTATCTGTCTTTTAAATTGAGGTGTATTTATTTATTTCCTTATCTGTTCTCTGCAATGAGTTACTTACAGCCCTTGGGGAGAGTTTGTATGCAGATCTGTCCCAGCTAAGAGTCACTTACAATGTCTACAAGGCTGTTTATGCTATTGCTTATACAATAAAAGATATGCTGGCCTGTGAACCTGGAAAAGGTCCCTTTCTGGAAGGCCAGTGTCCTGATGTTGAGATGCTCCAGCCTGCTCAAGTAAATGAAATTCTACTGTCTTTAGGTGCCACAAATGTTATCCTTTTCAGAAGTGATATGAAACAACCTTTTTCTCTCTCTCAGATAGCTCACTACCTGCCAAAGGTGAACTTTACAACACCTTTGAAGGAATGGATGAACTTTGATGAGAATGGAGACACACCTGCTTCGTACGATATCATCAACTGGCACGTGACAGTTCAGGGAACAGCAGAGTTTGTCACTGTTGGCCATTTTGTGCCCTCTCAAGGGTCAGATGGCCAGTTTCACATTGACATGGACAGAGTGGTGTGGGGAGGAGGCAACAGACATAAGGTGTCTCTTTTTGCAAACTTTTTTTAAATCACACCTATCGGTGTGACTCAAAAACTGGGCTAATATGAGTATATTACTTGATCTTAGGTGCCTGTGTCTGTGTGTAGCAGCCCTTGTCCCCCTGGTACAAGGAAAGCTGTGCAGAAAGGGAGTCCTGTGTGCTGCTTTGACTGTCTGCCTTGTGCCAAGGGAGAAATCAGTAACAAAACAGGTGATTTTGAGGGTTCCTTTTATTTATACATACAGCTCTTCTCCGAATTCATGTAAGCAATGAATTCAAGAATAATGGCATACTGTATATAAACAATATGTACCACCCACTGTAAACCTAGTATTGTCTAACAGCTTTAGCTTAAGGCAGAATGTGGAGGTAGGTATTTCATGTAGTAAAACCAAAACAAGCCTATACCAAACTAAAGTCTCTGAATACAATTCATACATCTCAGTAATAATTAAAAAATTTGAGAATTAAATGATAGCTTATGTAAGAATTATGTGCTCTAATGTAGCAGTAAAATTAAATTAAATTAAATGTACTTTAGAGGAAGGTTTGCATAAATTGCTTTTAACAATCAAAACATATTGGTCTGCGAGTGATTGTATTTGCAATCATTTTACAACCTAAACATAACTAATTAATAATTATAATAATAATTTAGTTTACATAAATAAATGGACATTAAAATGTCCAAGTTTTCACTTTCCATTATTTCCATTCTATTACTGAAAAACACAATTCCAGGTTTTAACTCTCTCTCTGTGCCTTTGTCGCTTACTAGGATCACTGGAGTGTGTTCGGTGTCCTGAGCGGTTCTGGTCCAGCTCAGACCATACAGTCTGTGTTCCTCTGCAGCTGGATTTCCTTTCTTACGGTGACACCATGGGAATCATCCTGTCCATTGTCTCAACTGTTGGGGCAGCACTGACTGCTGCCACATTCGCCACCTTTCTTTGCTACCGACATACACCTCTGGTAAAGTGGAGCACCGTCCCAGATGATACCACATCATATTTTGGAGAGTATTACATCATATTTTCATCAGGCTAAGAGAATAATGGTGATATTGTAGTTTTGTGATCCATTAACTTAAAAAAGAACACTGTCAACACCATGCTGTAATTTACCTTTGTGTCCCTCCCTTAGGTACGAGCCAACAACTCAGAGGTGAGCTTTATGCTCCTGCTTTCCCTCAAGTTGTGCTTCTTGTGTGCGCTGACCTTCATTGGACAGCCAGCGGCTTGGTCCTGTAAGCTGAGACACACACTGTTTGGAATCAGCTTTGTGTTGTGTATTTCCTGCCTGCTGAGCCGCACTATGGTGGTTCTAGTGGCCTTTCATTCTACGCTCCCAGGGGAAAACCTGATGCGTTATGTTGGGCCTGCTCAGCAAAGGGTGGCCATCTCCATCTGCACTCTAGTACAGGTGATGCTGTTTTTAACACAGAGCTGTTCTAATCTTATTCATTTCTGTACTGTAGAACAGGATCAGTTATGTAAATACATCTTGTGCATATACTGAACTACTTTCTGTTCATGATTTGAATTCCATAATACGAGGTCTAATTCAAATTTCGTTGTCTTTGTATTCTAAACATATCTTTGTTTCTGTTTCCTGACACAACCTTAAACTCCAGGTGCTGATCTGTGTGCTGTGGCTGACCCTGGCTCCGCCTCGGCCTACAGAAAGAGACAGCATGGACAAGCGGGGACCCAAGATCATTCTTGAATGTGCTATGGGCTCTGTGGTGGCCTTTTCACTTGTCCTAGGCTACATTGGCCTGCTGGCCTGTCTCTGCCTCCTCTTGGCCTTCATGGCAAGAAAACTTCCTGACAACTTTAATGAAGCCAAGCTGATCACCTTCAGCATGCTGATCTTCTGTGCTGTCTGGGTGGCCTTTGTGCCTGCCTACATCAGCTCCCCTGGGAAGTATACTGTCGCAGTAGAAATTTTTGCCATTCTGGCCTCCAGTTATGGCCTTCTGTTGTGTATCTTTGCCCCAAAGTGTTATATTATTCTTCTGAGGCCAGAGAAAAACTCCAAAAAACATTTAATGGCCAGATAGCTCAATAAATGTTGGCAAAAAAGATATACAGTAGGGTTCTATTTTCCTGCAGCCACAATACCAGCAGTAGGGTGATCTGTTTTTTGTGTCTGTGCCTGTTTGATAATTTCCTGGCAACAAACATTTTTGTTTGCACCTACAGTGGTGTGAAAAAGTGTTTGCCCCCTTACTGATTTCTTATCTTTTTGCATGTTTGTCACACTGTAATGTTTCAGATCGTCAAACAAATTTATATATTAGTCAAAGATAACACAAGTAAACACATCATGCAGTTTTTAAATGAAGGTTTTTATTATTAAGGGAAAACAAAATCCAAAACTATAGAGCCCTGTGTGAACAAGTGTTTGCCCCCCTGTCAAAACACTGGTTTATCGCACCTGAGTTCAATTTCTCTTGCCACACCTGTTCGCAATCAAGAAATCACTTAAATAGGACCTGCCTGACAAAGTGAAGTAGACCAAAAGATCCTCAAAAGCTAGACATCATGCCGAGATCCAAAGAAATTCAAAAACAAATGAGAAAGAGAATAATGGAGCTCTATCAGTCCGGAAAAGGTTATAAAGCCATTTCTAAAGCTTTGGGACTGCAGCGAACCACAGTGAGAGCCATTATCCACAAATGGCGAAAACATGGAACAGTGGAGAACCTTCCCAGGAGTGGCCAGCCGACCAAAATTACCCCAAGAGCGCAGCGACAACTCATCCAAGAGGTCACAAAAGACCCCACAACAACATCCAAAGAACTGCAGGCCTCACTTGCCTCAGTTAAGCTGAGTGTTCATGACTCCACCATAAGAAAGAGACTGGGCAAAAATGGTTTGCATGGCAGAGTTCCAAGACGAAAACCACTGCTGAGCAAAAAGAACATAAAGGCTCGTCTCAGTTTTGCCAGAAAACATCTTGATGATCCCCAAGACTTTTGGGATAATACTCTGTGGACAGACGAGACAAAAGTTGAACTTTTTGGAAGGTGTGTGTCCCATTATGTGTGGCGTAAAAGTAACACCGCATTTCAGAAAAAGAACATCATACCAACAGTAAAATATGGTGGTGGTAGTGGGATGGTCTGGGGCTGTTTTGCTGCTTCAGGCCCTGGAAGACTTGCTGTGATAAATGGAACCATGAATTCTGCTGTGTACCAAAATATCCTGAAGGAGAACTGCAGTCCCCAAGCTTTAGAAATGGCTTTATAACCTTTTCCGGACTGATAGAGCTCCATTATTCTCTTTCTCATTTGTTTTTGAATTTCTTTGGATCTCGGCATGATGTCTAGCTTTTGAGGATCTTTTGGTCTACTTCACTTTGTCAGGCAGGTCCTATTTAAGTGATTTCTTGATTGCGAACAGGTGTGGCAAGAGAAATTGAACTCAGGTGCGATAAACCAGTGTTTTGACAGGGGGGCAAACACTTGTTCACACAGGGCTCTATAGTTTTGGATTTTGTTTTCCCTTAATAATAAAAACCTTCATTTAAAAACTGCATGATGTGTTTACTTGTGTTATCTTTGACTAATATATAAATTTGTTTGACGATCTGAAACATTACAGTGTGACAAACATGCAAAAAGATAAGAAATCAGTAAGGGGGCAAACACTTTTTCACACCACTGTATGTAGTAGGACCAGTGTGGCTGAGCCTGTGTTACTGTGGCTTTACTTAAAGGATTATTACAAGAAGTAATAGCAATTGAAACCATGTTTAGAAATATTTGGACAAACTGAACATGAACCTACAGTTATCCCTAAATCAATCCCGGGCCTGTTAATATAAGATTGGTGCTATAATTGAACATAGGCTCAGAGCTGCTGCTGAGAAGGAAAACGCTCAGGATGCAGAATGGCAAAATGTGAGAAATGATACAGTAAGAACACAGAAAATGCACTGACTGTGCACACAGATGCAGAAACATAAAAATGCTGGCACCCCTGTATTTCTGTCAGATAACACACCACTTCTCCCAGAAAATCATTGCAATCACAAATTCTTTGGTGTTCTCATGTTTATTTCTTTTGTTTGCATTGGAACAACACAAAAAAGCAGAAAAACGTCAGGTCATTCATGGAGATGAACTTTTCCTCTCTCAGAGACCTCAGTCTTTTTCCCTTTGCTGCTGCTTGCTGAGAAGATGGGGGGAACTGATTTGATTGGCCATTACTGAGGCTTGCCTTGACTCTAACTGCTCATAATGCATTTCTCTCACTATAATAATGTATTCAGCCTCTCCTCCACATTGCACCTGTCTATGCCCTGTATGCACCAACACCCAGAGGTCAGACTTATATTCCTGCCTGTGCCCCAAAACAGTTCACACTGAAAAATTAGTTTGCCTAAATATAGACTTCTGAGAACTGTATGATGTCTATCATGACAAATACACACACAAGTTCATATTATTGAATATTCTTTATAGTCTAATACTATCATTTTTCTGTGCTTGTGTATGTACGATTTGATGTAAAATACATTGCTGTTGATGTGTTGCGTGTGTATGTCTGCATAAATGAAAATAAACATTTCTTCATACTATCAGCTCACGAGCTGGTGTGGTGCCACCCTGACAGCCCATCATAAATAATCACTCATCAGACAGTGGATGTGTGTGTGCTTATGCTGTTCACTGTGAGAACTGCTCGGTCGCGCACATATTATTCAGTGTGAAAAATCGGTATTGCTGTCTTTTGATTGCATTTTTTTCAACACATTTTGTATCTGTGCTCCCATTCTAAATCAGCCAAACATGGATCTGTCGCCTAAATAAAGTAGCATAGTGACTCATACTATATCCAAAAAAAAAACAAAAAAAAAAACATTATGAGTGCAGCTATTTCAATCTCTGGGGATTTCTGAGCTCTTCTAATCATTCACTGCTCTATATAATAGCCACATGGGGCCCACTGAATAGCGCTATTATGGCAGAGAAGAGACGTTAGCTTCAGTTCTACAGTGCCCATGTCTTCTGTGACACTGGCTGTCATTACATACAGTAATGGGTGAAAGAAAGATGGAGTAAAAGATACCTGAGCAAAGTTGGTTTCTGGAGGGGAAAATGGCAGAATAAGTAGACACTATCACTGTGCAAAAAGAACTTAGGTCACGGTATGATTCTTACCAAAGCATGTGTTCTTCACCTAACCCACATGCTGATTATTTAAAGTCATTAATATCTACACACAATACTCCTTTAAAACCCATTCTGTCATTCTGTATCCTCTAATACTGCTGTTGGTATCACTGGTGCATGTGAAAAAGGTGGAGAAGAGAACATAAAATACAATACCTCGCAATAAAATGCAAAGCTCTACAGCTACATTAAGTGACTCTTAATGTGCAGCTTTTCTCAGACTACTGCAGCCAATGATTCAACATGATGGTCATTAAGAGGGAGGAAAAGTAGTATGGTTACCAAGTCCTTCAGTTTTTAAAAGTGTCAACCGAAGGAAACGCAACACACGCTGGACACACGGCTTAACAAATCTGCAAGCTACTTCCTCAAAACAAACTATTAGCAAACTCTTTGGATGACATCACACCCAAGCATACATTATGGGCTGTTTTTGATGAATTGTCCCTGATGTGCCACTGTTGGGAAAGTCTTTTATCACTAATAGAAAACGTGGTCAACATTTGCCGCATTAAAAATCTCACTGATGACAAGATTAAGTAAACAGCTGTATGTAAACAGACGCCATGCCCTTATCACATAATTCTCCTCCTGACTTTATCTCTACATTGTCAACAATCCTTTGTCATCACATCTCAACACATATTTTGCCATTATTTTTAGGAGTGGGCTTCTATGAATTCTGGACTTCTCTCGCTCTTTTAATATGTTTTATATTTCCACAGCCATAATATGCTTCTATTTACATTTGTGTGCCTGTAATTTGATAGCCCATTCATTTTATTGAAAGAAATTACAGTGCGGTGTTTTCTCATTCAAAGCTAATTAATTATTTAACCCTCAAGTGGAGATGATCTATTCTGGTTTCATTATTAAATCAAGCAACTACTGGTGCTACAGTATGACCTGAAGGAATACTCTTTCTCTGAAATGAAACAGAGGCCAGCTGTGCACTATGAGAAGAAATCAATCCACCGTCTTATAGTCTCTAGTCTCTTTGTAATGCGCAGATGGGGAAGACAAGAATGAAGACTGGAAATCGATGTAAATCGAGTAATATGGTGTCAATAAAACACTGCTGTCCATCTAAACACCTTTCCCTTCTCCTGTCTGTCTCTGTTGGCCATCAGAGTCCATGTCCCAATTCACTCCTCTGCCTTGGGAGGAACAACAGATCAATCAGAGACGGATAATCAGTGTCAGCCTACACACAGAAACTTGTTATTGTAGGAAACAGCCAGGCTTAATGTTTACATGTAAAAGCCTCTGCAGTATGAGGATTTAATTAACAACTGAGATTTCCACAGAACATACCTCAGAGACCCTGGGCTGTCATTCTATCACAGCTCAAACCAGCATGGACTCTGCTGCCAACCCCTATTCAGGCCTAGGACATAGCTGTCCTTCACATTTCCACTGGCAAGTGTGATCCAAGGAAAGGATTTTTTTTATGCTTTGTGTAAAGTGTTGACTATGAAGTCTTGACTATGTGGATGAAATAAACTATAGGGGGGTTTACAGCACACGTCATTTATTGATGACAGTTTACAACAGTTTCTTTTGTAATATCTGTCTCTATTTCTACATTACTGATCTAATGAATTAAAAAAGTAGTTATCTGTCCACACTAGTAGTATAAGAGTAAAAATGGTATTCAGGAAAATTCATAAACATGTTGAGAAAGGTGTGTGAAATCATAGCTGTGCATTTCCTGATTGAACATGAAGAATGAATAGAGGAAGCATTGACAGCACACTACTACCATCTGGTGGGCAAATGATGATAAAACACATTTTTCCTCAGTTTCAGGTAGAGTTCGGTTTTTTTATTCATATAGAAAAAAAAGAAAGAAAAAGCAGTGCATAAAATATGCATGGAATGCACACAATCTCCTAACATCTGTCAGTGGCTGCAACTTTGGACATCAAGTGTTTCCTAGTGTTTTTTTCGGGCATCAGTAAGATTGTGTAGCACTTTGGTGCAAAGATGCAGCCCAGCAGTCCATAACTGGAGGCCAAGATGGCAAACACCTCTGTGACCATGGTGTACTTCCCTGGAGAGCTCATGTAGGCAGGGACAAAGGCTGCCCACACAGCACAAAAAATAAGCATGCTGAAGGTGATGAGTTTGGCCTCGTTGAAGTTGCCTGGAAGTTTCCTTGCCAGGAAGGCCAAGAGAAGGCAAATGCAAGCCAGCAGACCAATGTAGCCCAGGACCAAAGCAAATGCAATGGATGAACCTTCATCACATAAGAGAATGACAATAGCAGTCTCACGAGGCATCAGCTGGCGTGGACTAGGGGGTGAGACAACTAGCCACACTGTACAGATGATTACCTGGATAAAAAAATATAAATATTTCAAACAATTTGAATAAATGCTCCCCTAATAATCCACAAATCATAATACACCAGAAGGTCTTACCTGGACAAGTGTACAAAAGGTAATGACTGCTTTTTGCTGCATAGGCCCAAACCATTTCATCACATTACTGCCTGGAAGTGTAGCCCTGAAGGCCATTAACACCACTATAGTTTTCCCCAGAACACAAGAGATACAGAGGACAAAGGTGATGCCGAATGCTGTGTGTCGCAGCATGCAGGACCACTCAGAGGGCCGGCCAATGAAGGTCAGAGAAGGGAGTTGTCCTGTGATAGGAGAAAATGAAGATCACCACACAGGTGCAGAAGGAACCAATGAGAGAAATAGCCATCAGGGTGATGCCCATGGTGTCACTAAAGGAGAGGAACTCTATCTCTTTGGGAATACAAAGCGTCCTCTCAGCATTGGACCAGAACTCTGGCGGGCAGCGCACACACTCTATGGCATCTAAAGGAAAGAGAAAAAAGCTTTAACATAATGCTGTACTCTGGTTTTTCAATTACAGCTGCACAATCAAGTCAGCTTCTAAAACATAATGCAGGCAGGGAGCCTTTCCTCACCAGTCTGATTGCTAATCTCCCCAGCTGTACAAACCACACAATCATGGCAGCAGACAGGGACGTTAGGTCTGACTGCCTTCCGCGTGCCTGGGGGACAAATGCTGCTGCATACTGACAAGGGAGCCTAAGCAAGAAAGAAAACACATACTACAATGGTGACAAATAAATATATTATTGCACAAAATGCAATTCACCACAAGTCATATTATTCTATTGAGATCCCTACTTTGGTTTGGTTGCCATTCCATACAATGCCTTGTTCCTGGATGTGGAGCTTTTGCTTTCTGGCTGTGACCGTCTCATCAAATTTGCCAATAGTGACAAATTCCATTTCTCCATTTGGTTTCAGCTGCCAGTTAACCAGCTCATATATCACTCCAGGGTCACCATTTTCATCAAACTTTACTTCATCACCAAATGAGTTCAAGTAGTTCACCTGTTTTATGTAATGAAGTAGCTAAGGGAAGGCAGTGCATATGATCATTGTGTATTCCCAAAAGCAATAATATTTTTTACATTTCACATTAGGGACAGTACCTGCCATGGCTGTATAGTGTCTCCATCTGGACAGGCCTGCTGAGGAAATGGCCCTTTGTCTTTCACACAGCTTCTCATTGCCTTGAGTGCATGAACAATTGCATACACAGCCTTATAGACATTGTAGGAAATCCTTAGTTGTGATACATCTGAATAGATGTTCAACACCCTCCCCAGCTCTTCTGCTCCAGAGCAAGGAGGTCTACCCTCGACATTATGCTCCTGACTTTTAGCCTGCAAACCCAGGCTGCATTGAAATAACTCTTCCCAGAAGGGTATCAGGAAGGGATCTCCACGGGCATCAGGGCTCAAAGGATGCAAGCGAAGCAGAAAGTCTCGCAATCCAGGAATGTACACCCTTTGAATGGCAAATCCCATAGAACCCTTGAGGATGTGGTGGTACTTTTTAGGGGTGGAGAGGACGGCAGCCGTGCTCCAGGCCTCACTGGCCAACCACTGTACCCCAGTGAGCCCCTCTCTAAATTCAAGAGATATGTAGATGGCATTTTTGCAATAAAATTCAATTTGGAGATCCAAGCTCAGTAAACTTAAAAAATGAACCAAAAATTGATGCTGAGTTTTTATCATATTATAAATAATACAGTGTTGTGGAAGATGATGAGAAACTGAATGTGTCATGCCTAAGTGCTTCATCAAACAGTGCTGCCGCATCTTGCTCCACAGCAAACACTAGAATCACCCGCGCCCCAGAGGAGCGAATCTTGAAAACAATAGATGAAATGGTGCTCTGTGTTTGGGTTTTAGGGATGATCTCATGGAGGGCAACACAAGCACCTAACTTTCTAATCTAAGAGATCAAAAAGAGAGAATCATGAGAGCTTGTTTCATTTTATCTTCACAGTGTTCAGTAAGCTATACATTAAAAATTACAAAATGTATTGTGATCAAATTCTTTTGTTTATGGGTGTGTGGCCCACCTCATCGGCAAAGATGTTTGCTCCACCACGGCCATAAGCATCATCCCCTGCAATCACACCCACCCAAGTCCAGCCAAAATGCTTAACAAGTTGTACTAGTGCATCTACCTGGGGAGAGGCAGAAAGAAAGAGATTTGTTTAATTTCAGAAATGAAAATGTGGACACAATCTTGTTTGTGTAGAGAGGATTATGTGTCTGCTGTCTGTAACCTGGAAGAGGTCACTGGGCATGGTCCTTAAAAAGGAAGGAAATTCCTTTTTGTCACTGAGACAGGCACAGCTGGAGAAATAACTAACCTGAGTGGAAGAAAACACCCATGGTCATTCAAATTTCCAAAGAAATACATGTATATATGAACAATCCACAAGGCTATCCCTGCCCTGCCCAGAGGCTTTAACACACAGTAAATAACTGGTGTACAACTGTTGAGTACCTGTGGCACATGGAAGACTCCCAGGAAATGGGCCACTGCGATAGACTGAGTAGAGCCTCCATCCCCTAGCACTACTGGTACAGTCTCATGACAGGTGCCTCTGCTATGTGCTTCATCTCCTGCACCCTGCTCATGCCCCATTAGCTCCATGACAGCCTTCAGTGCTTGATGTGGTGTGCTGCATGAATCATAGATCTTATAGCCCACTGTGATGTTGGGAAGCAGCGTGCCAACTCTGTTGATCTCCTCGATGGCAAAGATCATAGTTTGCATCCAACGGAAAGTTCGAAAGTTAAATCTAGAAAAAAGAGAGGATATCTTGAGGCAAGGTTTAAAGCCACACAACTCTAGACTTGATTGCACTCATCATTTTTCATGAACAATGCACATGGTGAACTACTGAAGAAAGTTTTGTGCCATATTTGGCCATTCTTAATCGCAACACTGTAGCAACAGCAACATGAAAACTTGCAAGGAACGGTTTACCTGGTGCACTGTAAGGGAGGAGGTGTCGAGTTAAAGGAAAGACTGGGCTCCGCCACCATGTCATGAAGGGAGAAGAGCCCGCCCAAGGTGATATTTCCCTTTTTCTCCAGCATCGTCAAAGGCATAGATCCAGGGATTATTTTACATTGTTGGCTCTGGTCTTCGTGGTAGCTATAGGGAAAAATCCCACACCATAGTATACTCAAAAGCATAAGCTCAGTTCTTCCCCATGAAAGACTGGGTTCTACTATCCCCATAGCAAAATGATTCATCTTTTTTAAACTAAGCCACTGTAAAACCTCAATACCTAATTTATATCTATGCTGGTTCCAATAACAGATTTTTGGACAATCCATATAAATAGCAAATAATGAGCCGACCAAGCATCCTGTAAACAAAGTAACAAGGTACAATTTGTCAGTGGTCAGCAAGAGCTAGTGCACATAAAATAATACATCATAATCCCATTTAGACAGTATCAACAGCTACAGAAACGGAAGTGTAAAATCACCAGTTAAGCCAGTTAACTCAAACCAGTTAAGTAAACACCACATCAACCTAATATATAGAAGGCGAGATGTATTAGCAGAGGACAGAAAAGCCACTAAGTCTTTATTATCAAGTAACTGAAGCTGACCTGTAGCCTATATCTACAACCTACCTCATATCACAAGTATCAGACTGACCTCATTTCCCCAGGACTTTTGATCAGTGTGGAAAGAGCCCCAAGGAATTATATTAACAAGGAACTGGAATGAGCACTTGATTATAATGGAAAGAGACAAGCGCTGCGTCACGGCACAGTGCCATGCCTGACTAGGCCGAGCTCGCCCTTCGGTGATGTGAAGTGGCAGACAGCAGAGCTGTGTCATAGGGGACTGCTAAACTAAGATACACACTTTTCAGACACACATAGAGAAAATTAGAAAGCGCAGTGAACAGCTGAATGTGAGGACAACTTCACAGATGCATCAAACATCCTGAAACATAAAAGTCTTATCACTGCCATAAATAAAAAGAGGTGCATGGGGTGCAATATTGTATTCTTTTGAATGAGCACACGCATTACAGTTGTACCTGAAATACGGTGTTACAGTTTGCTCTCACTGTAGCTTCACCAGAAACAAGAACATTTTCATACAACTTGAAGGTTCAACAAGTTTTTTTTCTCTTCCTTTCAAAGTGGTTAAACAGGTGCGATATGGTGAGATGAATGAGTCATTAGGGATAAATGAACATCATTATCAAGATAAACCCTGCAGGCTACAAAACAGAGGACCACACAGTGTGAAGCAGAGAATGTTACACTGCCTCAGGTCATAGGTTGCCTCATTCATTTAATATGTCCCTGTGTGATGCTCATAAGAGGAAGCGCAGAGGTAACCAAGACAGAAAGTGCAGTATTATGGGAAAGTAGTATTTTTGTAAGTTAAGTCTTTAACGAGATCTTAGACTCAAAGGATCCTGTGCTCTCAGGGAAACGGGCTCAGCCCTGTTGTTTTTGAAAACAAACCGATTATAAAAGAACAACAATGAGACTGCAAGTGTATCACTGCTGTTGTCCTCACAGGGATATGCAACTTACTGACAAACAAACTGGCAAAATAGCAGAAGACAGGGATACTGGTGGAGCAGTGGGGATAATAGATTGTGACAGAGAACTCTGAGCAAGTCAACAAGTGACATGATGAGAAGGTTAAGCAGAAGCAAATGTTAATATGCTAGAGAAACATGCAGGCAGAGAGATGAGCAGATAGCGAATGGGAGAATATGCAATCAGACAGATACAGAGCAGGAAGGAAAAGAAAGGAGAAGAAAAAACTGGAACAGGTGCAGACAACGAGGAAGAAAGTAAGAATTTCAGGAGTCTGTGATATCTACTGGTTTAGTTTTGAGGGAATAGCGTGTACTGTATGTAACACATAGCATGTATATACAGTAAGCTAGCAGCCAGATGTTTCACAAAGAAAAAACTGGAACGGGTGCAGACAATAAGGAAGAAAGTAAGAATTTCAGGAGTTTGTGATATCTACTGGTTAATTTTGAGAGAATAGCGTGTACTGTATGTAACACATAGCATGTATATACAGTAAGCTAGCAGCCAGATGTTTCACCCAGATCCTCAAAATCTGGTTTTCATCACTTGTTTTGATGAATATGCGCAGACTGAAGTTGAAACAAGACCACACATATTAAAGAATCTGCAGATAATCGACCTTCACAGGGGAGACTCAGGAAATAGAATCTGAGTTGGTCAAGTTCAAGGGTGACTTTCTGTAGCACAAAAGGACCCGGTGCTTTCCATCATCCATCCATCCATTTTCCTCCGCTTATCCGGAACCGGGTTATGGGGGCAGCAGTCTAAGCAAAGATGCCCAGACTTCCCTCTCTCCAGACACTTCCTCCAGCTCCTCCGGGGGAATGCCAAGGCGTTCCCAGGCCAGCTGAGAGACATAGTCCCTCCAGCGTGTCCTGGGTCTTCCACCGGGGCCTCCTCCCTGGGATTTCCATCAATAGGGTAAAAAATATTTTTTCATTCTGTGATGGAATTGATGAGAGACATGAGGTCAAACATGATCTCCTGAAACCCTTCCTGTAGGGCATAAAGTGACTGTGCACCCATCAGCCCCTGAATAGTTTTTTTTCAAGATAGTTCATGGGGGCTAGGGCAAATTGGATAAAGCTACTCTATCTCATTTTTATTGTCCTCTAGACTCACAACAAACTCACAGCACAAGTCACTTCTAACTGCTCTTTGCTCCTCCCATCATGTCCTGTCTTTTTTCAGCTTGCAACAAACTGTCTAGTTCAAAATGCTCTGGTTACTGCAAATGTGACACAAAGTACTAACTTTACGCAAAGCTGAAAATACTCTGAAATTAAAACGATGACCAAGCCAAACAGATATTAACCCTCGTTTTTGCTTTTTATAATTTACAAAAAATATTTTGATAACACAGTTTAGAAAAGTTGGAATAAGAACAGAAGTGCTGAATGCAGCAGTGTGTCATGGAGGAGAGTAGGACAGTGGAGAGACATCACGTCCTCTCCCATTTTCACTTGATTTACCAAACAATGTGCAAAATTTGAATTAATGCACCTGTGAATTGTTCGTTGTGTTGGTCCATCCAAGTTGGTTGCTAATTCAAACAGAACAAAAGGAAGAATCTGCCACTGGGAAGCATAAAGAAAAGTCATGGCCGTCATCCAACCAGAGACCATTTCACTGGCTACATGATGACATTTGACATGTCTGTGAAATTATTTGTCACACAAATGAAGCTGTCCCGAGCAGATCCACTGGTTCATCCCTACATATTTTAAATGCTCAGTATTGGTTAAAATAAAGCCAATCAAATCCTGATTCTTCTTTACTTTTAACTCTGCTGCTTCCGGCTGACTGCTGCCGTTGGCTGACTGCAGCGCCTCATGTCGTCAGTGATGGCTATTAATTGCTATATACGGCTAACACAGATTTAAAAAAAGGTCATTCATGCACTTGGAGGGTACCTACCCTGAAGAAGGAGCTAAAAAAGTCCCTCAAAACAGTTTTCTAAGAACTGTTATTCTCAGTTCCTGCAGTGTGGACACTGGGGTACTTTGGCCAACATTTCTAAGAACTATGAAAAAGTTCCTTTGGTCCAAAAGTGCCTAAATTCTACTGTAGAAAATGACAGTTTCCTGTACTATGTACAGGTCTCTGCTTTTGTCACCTCTTGCTGTTGAAAAATCAAGCTTCAGCTGCGTGGCTGGGGTCAGCTGACACTCAGCATCACTCTAGGTATGAAAGTCTTTAGTTAAGTTGTGTTAGAATGCTGCTTTCGCAGGTGCTTGGAGAGGTTTGATGTCATTTTCACAGCAGTGGATAGTTGCTTCTCTTTGTACTAAGTTTGCACTTTACTGTCATATTCTTGCCATTTCACACAATAAATTCTAAGTAATGTGCCTATCTCCACAATATAACAACTTCTTATGGATGACAAGAGCTAAAGGGTACTTTTTAAATTAATGTATCAAACCCTCCAATTCAAATCAGGATCAGGGCCAAAGAAACTTGATCAGCACTGTACATATATCCTACTAGTGTTCAGGCTCTCTGTTTTGGAGTGTGATTTTATGGGCCTGCTCTGGTGTAAAAGACTCTTGTGTGGTAGCATCTCAGTCATTCTCCTGCCTTGTTCACTTCTGTAAATTTTCTGTCATTATTCAGATTCACCCTTGGTTCTCAGAGTAAAATTTTAAGGGATATTTTTAACTGCTTGGCCCTTCCATTTTTATACATCGCTAAATACAAGATAAGGTTTTGTAGCTTTAAACAGATTTAACATGGGCCGCACATATTTTATAAGAAATCCACACCTTCCACATTGTCTGACAAACTGAGTTGTCTGGTGTTGTGTATCTCTCTCGGAAGGTTAGAGTTCAAGCCATGTGATGTCATTGTCCCATTTTGGTTATGCTGAAAAACTGATCCACCAGCAGAGGAGCCTGGCACCAATTCCCATTTGCTCATTAGTACAGTTTGACTGGTGGAAATTGGTGCTGAGTATTTTGCATTTCTTATGAACGGTCAGAGTGGGACAGAAAACATTTAATTCTGCATCATAATGAGGCATTAAAAAGCATTTTATTAATAGCACCATACTTTACAAAATTGCCTTAAAGGGTGACCTGGTGGTTATTTCACATAAACTACAGTATCCCCAGTTCCATTCCGGCCAGGGCCCTTTGTTGTATGTTATACCCTGTGTTTCATGTATCTTTGCTGCCACAATTGAATGATGCAAAATATCTTAAATTATCTCAAAAGCACTCAATATCAGATAGCTGAGTCCACAGAAATTAAAAATTACATATCAGAGCAGGATATCAAAGAGAAGATCTGACTGAAATATTAAAGGCTGACATCATTGACGACACTGGTACTTAGGCCTGCTGTTTGTTATACAGTATCTCGTGATCTCTATGCACTTCCAGAAAGAGGAAAACACAGCTGAAAATGTTTTTATGATCAAGCTTGCCTGGCCACTAAAAAGTTATGCATTTGTGTTTTATAAATTCATTAAAATATTAAATCATTCATGGTTCCTGTGCTTTAAAAATTAACAGTAGCAGTTCCCCAAAACATATTACCTCAACTAAGGTTGCCATTTAAATCTGTATCTATATCATCTGTACATTTTATGAACTTGCTTTAAAGTCAATTAAGTGTTTGGCCCAGCAAACATCATTGTTTTAGTATTGTATAATTTTTTATGTTTATTTTTAAAAGTTGAAGCATGATACACTAAAGAAGGTGATGTAAAAACACTGCCATTCAAGGATGGCCTATGTATACTGTTTTAAAACTGCACCATTCAAAGTTCACATACATGCTTGGAGGGTTTGTGAAAACACAGTAGGCCTCAGTTAAAGGCATCACATCAAGAAAATCTGCTTTAGTTTTTAAAGTGAGTGTGAAAAGAGTGTCATGGTCGTCTCACATGTCACACATGTTCTATGTTAGGGATGCAAACTTTTACACATTGCTAAATGAAGCACTTATTGTCACTTTCATGTTTTCCCTCCACAGCTTAGCCTTAATTCCTGCCTGTTGTTAAAATCTAAAACCTGTTATTAAAGTGTTTTAATTGTGATAATCTTAATAAAAATGAGTTCATAAAACA